TAGTGCGCTAGATGTAGACACTCCACCCCTTCAACTTCTCAGAGAATTCTGTGACGAACATCTATTACAAATTTCTAAAGAGTTTTAACGAGTCAGCATCGATGCGATCAGGAATGCTCTAAGGGGCACAAAGAACTGGGCTGCCCTTGGGCCAGATGCAATCCCTACCTTCTGATGGAAGAAATTGATATTTTCTCACCAGCATCCGGCTCGTATCTTCTCGGAATATCTAGGTGGAAACACGCCCATTCCTGGATGGCTCGTTGGAGGGCGTACTGTGCTGATCCCCAAAAGTAGTGATCTGTCTAACTCTAAAAACTACAGGCCTATTGCATGTCTGAATACTCTCTACAAATTGTTCACGAAGATTTTAAACGAGAGGATTTTGACTGCAATAGAACTTGTATGGAGACAAATAAACGAACAACGTGGCAGCAAGCGTGGCTTGACAGGTTGCAAGGAGATCTTGCTAGTAGACCGATGCGGCACAATGGACGCATACTACTACAAGTGCAACTTGTCAATGGCTTGGGTGGATTACAGAAAGGCATTTGATACAACATCACACGAGCTTCTCCTCTACTTGCTTCAATGCCGCTCTGGAGGACACGTTTCACCGTAAAATCTGGAGTTCGAGCAGCGGAAGGTCGATCGAAAAACAACCAAGCAGTTAAAACTTCTTGACGAATATGAGGCAAAGTCCTTACATGGTGTGTTTTACTGTCATCTTGAAACACAGGACTTGTCACACCAGCTGACTTTATACCTTAAGTCAGCTGGCTTGTTCTCTGTGACCGAAGGATTTATTATGGCCTGCCAAGGTGGTGTATCTTCCACCCTCGCCTATCGGCGTGATGTTATGCACGAGCAACTCGAGGACACAAGATGCCGAGTTTGCCGAGGTGATGTAGATGAGACGCTATTTCATGTATTATTGGCTTGTCCGATATTAGCGCGCTTAGCCTACACTTACCAGCATAACGCCGCCTTAAGATTGCTGTATTACCACCTTTGGCACTCTTATGGAATAGATGAGACACCAGTGCTGCACTATGTGCCCGGTAAAATTAAGTCAGTCGTTGAGAACGGGAGAGCAAAAATTCTACATAATGAATCCTTTGGTCACAGAGAACAAGCCAGCTGACTTAAGGTATAAAGTCAGCTGGTGTGACAAGTCCTGTGTTTCAAGATGACAGTAAAACACACCATGTAAGGACTTTGCCTCATATTCGTCAAGCAGTTTTAACTGCTTGGTTGTTTTTCTATCGACCTTCCGCTGCTCGAAACTCCAGATTTTACGGTGAAACGTGTCCTCCAGAGCGGCATTGGAGCAAGTAGAGGAGAAGCTCGTGTGATGTTGTATCAAATGCCTTTCTGTAATCCACCCAAGCCATTGACAAGTTGCACTTGTAGTAGTATGCGTCCATTGTGCCGCATCGGTCTACTAGCAAGATCTCCTTGCAACCTGTCAAGCCACGCTTGCTGCCACGTTGTTCGTTTATTTGTCTCCATACAAGTTCTATTGCAGTCAAAATCCTCTCGTTTAAAATCTTCGTGAACAATTTGTAGAGAGTATTCAGACATGCAATAGGCCTGTAGTTTTTAGAGTTAGACAGATCACTACTTTTGGGGATCAGCACAGTACGCCCTCCAACGAGCCATCCAGGAATGGGCGTGTTTCCACCTAGATATTCCGAGAAGATACGAGCCGGATGCTGGTGAGAAAATATCAATTTCTTCCATCAGAAGGTAGGGATTGCATCTGGCCCAAGGGCAGCCCAGTTCTTTGTGCCCCTTAGAGCATTCCTGATCGCATCGATGCTGACTCGTTAAAACTCTTTAGAAATTTGTAATAGATGTTCGTCACAGAATTCTCTGAGAAGTTGAAGGGGTGGAGTGTCTACATCTAGCGCACTAGTGCGACTATATATTTCAGTCCAGTAGGTTTCGACTCTTTCTGCACTTGGAGGCTCATAAGTGACAGGGGCTTGTGGCTTAAGAAAGCACGAAAAGTCAGATTGGAACAATCTGTTGACAATACTCGCCACGATACGCCGAATTCTTGTCGTATAAGGCCTGCGAGTGTTTAAGTGATCCATCACACTTTGAGTACGAGATTCACCTTGTCGAGCCTTTTCGATCTTATTTGCAGGGTATGTTCCGAAATATAAACCAGTATGCTGGCCAGTGTAAATGACGTCATAAATCGACGCCATACTGGTGATTCGTTCCAAAACACTGGCCAGCATATGACGTCATACATTATCGCCATATTGGGAAAAGTGTTTGTGAGTATTTGATAAAATTTTGTGCTCCAAAAGTTATTCCAAATCCAGTACAGCAAAAACATTGATTTTAATTAATTCGTCAAGAATGGAGATACCAACAGTTACGTTAGTATGCCGTGTTGCCACTGAAATTCACTCTGATTCATACGATAGTGATTCTGAAGATGATGAGTTAGTGCTTGCTTATTTACAAGATAACCCAGGAGGAGAAAGAATTGTAAGAATATACAATTATGTGGCATTTACTGTCCTTCGAATGTCGGATAAAACATTTAAAAGCCATTTCAGGTAATTTGTTATTATGTCCAGAAAAGGTAATATTAATGAATGTTTTAAATCTGTCAATGTCATTTCTTTTAGAGTTGAAAGGAGCACTGTCGATTATTTAATGAATTTACTTGGGTCAGATTTATCCATAGTATTTGGTAATCCTGGTAGATCTCCTATTCCTGTTTATACTCAAATCCTCATGGCGCTTTGGATGATGGCCACTCCAGATTCCTATAGGTGAATGAAAAATCATCGGCTTTAAAATGTTTATTTGGTAATGTACAATTATATGAAACATAAAAAATATTAATCGTATTTACAGATCTGTTTGCGAGCGCTTCGACATAGGCAAGGCTACTGGCTGGAGAACCGTTTGGAAGTTTGTGAAAGCTTTGTATAAATATTTACCAACATTCATCAAATGGCCTAGCACTCAAGAAGCTCTAATAACTGCAGCTTATATTGACAGACGATATGGATTCCCCGGGGTGATAGGAGCTGTTGATGGAACTCATATTAACATTCCAGCACCTCATCTTAATGCTCAAAATTATATCAACAGGAAAGGAAGATATTCCATACAAACTCAGGTAATGATGAGATCAATATTTTGCAATAGTTAATTTGAAAGAATATAATACAAAATAGAATTTCGTTTACACAATACTTTGCATGTTAAAAATATTTTATAAATGAATCTTTATTTTGGACTTAAATATGAATAGCGTTTTTGATACAAAAAACATCTTTCTTATTTTGTCTTGAACTCCATATCTGTAGCTTTTAGCTGATTTTTATGTTTCTGCTTTGGTAATCATCAAAGTCTTCTCCAACTCTGATATTTTTTATTGTTGTAGAAAATTCATTTTTGCTAAGCTTTAGTTTACCTGACTGCATAACTTTACAACAGATGTTGTAAAAATCCAACTAATTATTCTTCAAATTTTAACTTTTTTATGCTTAATCTTCTAGATTAATTATAAATTTCTGACTTTTCCATGATATTTCTCTTACTTAGACGTTGTTATTTCTGTAATCAATTTTGTTATATTCTCTCCATATTTTTTATCAACAATTTTTTTATATTTTGTAGGTTGTATGCGATCACACCCGAAAATTTATTCATGTCTATGCTGGTGAAGTCGGCTCGGTCCATGATGCAAGAGTTTTTCGACTTTCAGGAGTACAAAATCTTTGTGTTCCAGCCAATTTTCCTCAAGACACTCATTTACTGGGTGATCAAGCGTATTCGTTACAACCTTGTGTAATGGTACCTTATAAAAATAATCGTCATTTAACGAATTCCGAACTTCATTACAATAGAGTTCAGTCATCAGCACGCATGATAGTGGAACAATCCATTGGATTACTGAAAGGGAGATTTCGCAGTTTATTGGACAAGTTACCCATTAGACGAACAGACCTGATACCTTATTACATCGTGGCATGTTGCATCTTGCATAATATTTGTATTTTGCAAGATGATTTGATACAATTTCCAATAATAATTAACGGTAATGTTGGAAATGTACCTAATGCACCTCCAATGATTAACAATACTATGCGAAGAGATGGTATGAGGAAAAGAGAAAGAATACAAAATGCGCTTTAAAGATTCATGATATAAAATTCTTTTTGTATTCTCCTATATTATTTATTTGAATAAAAACATTTATTTCGTTTCTGTAATCTTTTATCTTGTTTTTTTTTGGACTTGCTATCTTCGGAAATAACCGTATTTATTAATTAGCAATGTAATTAACTGACAGAAAGAAATTTCCATAATTCCTTTATTGAGAAATTCTAAAGCCTGCCATAAAGATTAAGAAAAAAAAATTAAATTATCCGAATAATTTAGATAAAAATATTTCTTACAATCATCATTAATATTTCGTATGATTGTTAATGTTGCTGCAATAAACAACTAGTTATTCGATTAAATTTTTATTTAAAGAAATTTATTTGTTTGTCAACATTTTTTGTCCTATCTAATCTAGATTGCATTTTAGTACTCTAATCCATTACTGACATAAGAAGAAATTGGTTAAAAAGGGTCATTAAATTTATTGTTAAGGAATTAAACTTAATTTTGTAATCCAGTTTATAGAGTATATTCTTTTTTATTAATATAAAACATATTTCCATAAATTCAATACAAAACAACATTATTTTTTTGTTTATGAACGTATTATACTGTAGTATACCTAATGAAGATCTTTATTGAATAATCAAAGTAAGTGACATAACTACAAAGAATAGAAATAATCAAAATGTAAGAACATAGAATTAGAATTAAATATTTAATAAAATCGTCATAGTTTGAAACGGATTAAGAATTATGAACCAATTGGCTGTTATGCTTAATGAAGTTCTTTTGAAAGTTTCGTCAAAAATTATAATTTTTTGAATATCTTCAGCTCTTTAAATGCATAAAAATTTCATTGTTACTGGCAATGCTTCTCACCACTATGATTGCACGGCATATTGCAACTACAAAAACAAAAGTTGGTAAATTACACATTCATAGATTGAGACATGATATAAAGGTATTTTCCAAAAATGATTACAATATCAAAAATACTAACCATCTTTCGTGGTATCCTTGGCTGATGGCCACAATGACTATCAGCAACAAAAACGATCCAACAACTGAACAAATAACGTGATGGTTAGTTTGGACGGAGATCAATAGTTAATAAGGCACTCCAACAATGCTGAACGAAACTTAGAAATTAACCTGCAATAAATGAATGTGGCAATCATAGATATTCCTTATTAGATGATGCAATAATGTACTAAATGAAGCTAATTGAACTTACTATCACAGCAACTTAAGCTGAATTATTTATATCAATCTTAGCTTTTTTAGCAGCAGCAATGACCGCAATACTGCTTGCCATTGATTCAATGCTATCAATGAGTCTATCTAAACGAGACATTTTCTCACGACGATACAAGAGATCAGTTTCTTTCTTTAATCGCCGTTCTACCATCATTTCTTCAAGAAAATGATCCAACGGCTTCTCACGTCTTGGTCGTGGATTAGCTACTCCAACTATTTCAATAATAAATTCCAAATATTAATTATTATTCTATTTGAAAATTTTGAAAGGACTTACTCATATTATCTGGAATGCCATTTCCTGCCACTGATAATGGCTTTACCCAACGTTCTTTGTGGAAAAGTTCATGCATTACCTGTTTAAAAAAATACGACAATTTAACATAAATTTATTGAAGTACTAGAAAATAGTTGGTGAAGACTTTTGATTCTTGATGTTATTAGTTGAAAAATAAAAGAGAAGTCAGTAACAAAGAGTATAATTCAAGGTTAAATATATTGGTCCGAGCTTTGAAGCTTTGAAGCTTCATATTTTCTATTTTTTTAGTGTTAAACTGGTAAAATCAGAATAAATAGATTTCACCTCTTAATTATGTCTATTGCAAGAAGCTTTTAAACATAAATAAGAAGAGAGAAATTGAAGCATTGTAAGAAATGTAAGTAAATATTGAATTAAATACTGACATAAAAAAAAATCCACTTGTCTGCAGCTCCTCCAGATTTATTTTTTAAATCTAATTTTTCTTTATAAAGACGTTTTAATAAGTCCATTTTTGACACACATTTCTGATGCGGTATCTGTTTGCCTTTTTTTTCAAGTAAAATCGTAATAAATTTTGTCGTAGCACGTTTAAGCGCGTCTGATTTATCTTTTTTTTGTGATAATAAATGAACTCCTTCTTTTGCGAAGCAATCTATCCACAGGAAAGTTTCATCATCGGTTCAGTTATGAGGAGTTGCTGTTTATCAAAATAGAATTACATGAAAATTGGTCAGGAAATGATGAAGAACATTTTAAATGTATAAAAAATTATTAAATCTTACAATTCATAGAATTTGGAGCAATATTTTCTTGAGAGATGCTTTCTTCCACTGGTGCACATGACGCATCCATTGGCCACTCCTGGACGTCCACATCTGCGATTTCGTAGCCTGATCAAAATATGATTTATTTACGTTATTATTAAATAAAATTATATGAAAATTGGTCAGGAAATAATAAAGAATATTTTAAATGTATAAAAAATTATCAAATCTTACAATTCATAGAATTTGAAGCAATATTTTCTTGAGAGATGCTTTCTTCCACTGATGCACATGACGCATCGATTGGCCTCTCCTGGACGTTTACATCCGCGATTTCGTAGCCTATTTAAAATACGATTTATTTACGATATTATTTACTTATTTTTGATGTTATTATTATAACTATTTTTTATTATGAGACTTAATTATTACATATCTTGAAATTTTTCTCGTTAAAAATACATGAAATCTACTGGTGTATATAAATTTGAGTACTATAATGTTACCTTTCTTCATGAAGCAGCTGTGACCCGTAACCTGGCTCTGAAAAGCATTAATGAACATTGACATTAATATTCAAATTATTTAAAATAACAATAAGTTTTTATTAGGTTAGATGTCAAAATTTCATGACTTACCTGCATATGCTCTTAAATACTCTTCTTGAGTCACATGAAATGAGTAGGATTGTTGTTTTTCTTCATCATATAAATGTAATTCTTTTAATTCTGACATTTTTTCAAAATTAAAATAAATAAATAGAAATATTTAAAAGCCACACTACTTACACAACGGTTAACGTATAGAATGAATTAAGGCGGCAAACAGTCCAATATGGCGGCACACCAGTACAATATGGCGTCGATTCATGACGTCACTTGCACTGGCCAGCATACTGGTTTATATT